TAATTTGACTAGTATATATAGGCTCAAAACGGGCTTTTTGCTTTTTGACCTAAGATATATATATATATATATATAGGCTCAAAAGGGACATTTAGCTTTCGGCAGTTTTATGATGGGGGAAAACAGTTTTTTACGATGTATAAGAAACTATGAAGCAAAAAGAGGGTTATATTGAATCCGAGTGTTTGGTTCAAAACACACAAATATCACAGATGTGAAGAATCTGAAAAAGAGCCTAAGATAAAATCAAAGAATAAGATATATCTATAGGAAGATCCAAATTAATTTTAAAAAAACAATGAGTACTCTAATTATCTCTAATGTCACTGACAACGCGGAAAGTGAAATGGACATGGCACTTCAAAACTAAAATAATGAGAATGTAATAATTCTTTGCAGCTACTCCACAAAACCGACAAGAATTTGACGAATTCATAAAATAAAGAAAGAAAACTCATTTCATGGCAGACATACATGACCCACAAGAGTACACTAAAAGACAAAAATTAAGTATTATAATAAGCATAAAAGTAAAATTAAAATAAAAAAACAAACCCACGTGATAGCAACTCCACATTTTTTTTTTGAAGTAAACAGCAGCCCCCACATGACAAAACAACAAGTATTAAACTAGAAAAGAAACAAAACAGGGGAAAATCTCAAATAGAATAACATGGGACTTGAATATAAAGCTTGGAAGACTTCAAAGCATGGGTATTGAAAACCCTGAGTTGAATGAATCATGGGAAGATTTTCACCGTGTTGCAGCTGAGAAATGGGGGAGGAAAAAAAAAATTAGGGCTGGTTGGCGAAATGAAGAGAGAAAGAGGAAGAGAATTGGAAGAGAAAAAGAGAGACTCGTCACTGAAAAGAAAGAGAAAGGGACAAGAGCTCTAATCAATGCGCTGCAAAATGAAAAGCAACAGGGGAGGGAAGGGTGGTTTGGTCTTCGAATTGGGGGAGGGAAATAATATGATGCTTTTTGTTTTTGTTAATTGAACACAGTTGTTATTTAAATTAAAAAAAATGTAACTTTAAGACATTTATATCATGGTAGCATGTTGGTTGAGCAATGTTTTTATATCCGAAAGGGAGGGTGTTCGTAACCATAGCTTTTAAAAATTTTAATATTTACAAGAAAATTAACTTAGCATCCACCGCTCCAAATGTTATTCTATCATCATACTTTGATATTATATATATATATATAATATTTAAATAATGTCTAAAACATTTAAATTAATATTATATATTTTTATTTACATTATGAACCATATTATTAATATAAATTGGATTGTAGATTTTATAAATCCATTGGATGACCTATCACATACTATAGCAAAAATAAAACTTTAATTATTCAATTGAATATTTGGGGAAAAAAAATGTCTAAGAAATGTGAGGTGTATATAGTGATTCCAAGTAAGATAATATTTTGATTAGTAGAGAAGTTAAACAAAATTACCCTTGTCATGAGATTGTTGAACTAAATTACTTCTAATTAAAGACTATAATGTGTACTGTTATTTTAATTATAAAGAGAATAATGTAATTGAAGATTCCCCTCTATTGTATATTTTTATTAGCTAATGTAAATAATTGCCAAACTAAAAATTTATAAGATATCGTGTTTCATCATTTTAACTTTAATTATAATCACTAACATATTATTCTATTCAAATAATATATAGTTAAATAATACAAATTAATTATAAATATATAATTTATGTAAATCAACAAAAATTAATATAAACATATGTTTATTTTTAATTATAATTAAAATTGACATTTGTATTAAACAATAATATTAATATATAATTTCATACAGATTAAATAGACCCAAAATCTTATTTATTATAAAAATAATTGCAATAAAAATATATAAATATGTGTCATCAAATATTTTTGGACAGATTTGTCACATCTTTGAGGATTGAATCCATTGTAAAGGAATATTCTGTCCCAAACATCCTTCACAAATATTTTTGGGACAGATAAGTTGGTCACACTTACCATCTCAGATATTCAGCACATCATTTGTTGTCCCAAATTCTATTGCAATAAATTGGGACACACAATTGCATCCCAAATTGCATCCAAAAATTTTGGGACGAAATTTGGTGTCCCAAAATCCAGGACAAATATTTCAGATGGAATTTGGGATGGATGTGAAACCCAATTGTGACTCTTTATATTCTATCACAAAATCCCATTCAAAATCTTCTATTTGCTTGTAGTGGCTACTCCTTATCATAATTGGGAACTTAGAAACAATAAAATATCATAAACTCAGAAAATCCCAAATTAATAGACAACATCATATGAAATTAGAAAAGGAAGAGATCATTTGAACTCCTAAATCAGAATAATCCTAAATGAGGTACCCTAGTTGTCCTTTTATATGTTTTCGCAACCCAAAATGGCTTAATTGCCGAAAATAGCTTCCTCCTTTCCTCAAGTAATTAATTTGCCCAATTAAAATTACAATCAACGCATTAAACGTGTCTCAGGCTTCATCCACATGTGATCGTGGCCTTCATAAGCTTCTTCCACACACGGATAATTCAGGAACCAGATAACAGCTCTCATCCTGCTCCAAATAGTAGTGCAAATAAATTTCCTTTAAGTTTTTGCAATATAGATGATTAATTTACATAACATGTAAAATTTAATTGATATAGCTTTTTGGTATGAATGATAGCTTTTTACAATTCCATAAGAAAAGGTAGGGGAATTTACAAGTCCATCAAAGTTGACTTGAAGACCAAATTTGGAGCAAAGATTAAAGTTATAATTTCATATTACATTACAAAAGTAGTGGGTTTAGAAGTGAGAGACTTGGCTAAGTATTGTGGTTTTGATTGTTAGTACTACAACATCCTTCTAAGGTGGGGCTGATTGGAAAAGACATCTTCAAGAAGTATGGTCATGAGATATTTTGAAAGTAAAAGTAATATTTAATTCAAATACACACACACATAACATAGTTTTCATGTTATCACAATAAGTATTTATACTTAGTGTGTTTTAGGAAAAAATTGAACCTATATTGACCAAGTAAAGGAGGAGAAGTTTAATAGAATTATCCACACTACCACAACAAATGCTTTTAGAAATTAGAAAAATAATTTGAACCCACAATAAGTCTTACGCCACTAATGAGGAGAGACTGAATAATCCAACTAACTGAATCCTCAAGATCCAAGTGACATGTGACATACTTTTAGTATGAAAATTAGAAGGTACTTTGCTATTAATGCAAATTGATGCAGCATTTTACTTATTTTATCGAATCCTTACTATGTATATAAATTACCAATTTTCTTGTAGAATAAATAAAATTTCAAAAGACAAATGAAATTGATGATTACAAGTGACACGCATACCTATGGTCCTTGATCATTTGCAAAGAATGACTACTCTATAGTGAGTAAAACCTGCATTTAGTATATTTTCTTGTTTAATCTTACTTATCTTTAATGTACTAGTTGTTCTCCTTGCACACTATACTTTGTAGAGAGACACCACCACTGGAAAACCAGCACCTCCTGATTTGGTATGGGAGTTTAACGCATGCCAGGAAGATTGTAGATGGCTAAAAGGATTGGGTAGACTTGCTATTTGAACAAATTCATATATGTATTTTAATATTATCGATCTCTTGCAATAGGTTTGGCCTTACTTTCATTTTATTTGGCAGGCTTGTATGCAAGAGCTCATTCATCAGTAAGAGCAGCAACAAGATCAAAAGAGTGACGATGATCAAATGACATATGATGAGATCTTGATGATCGTTCTTGGCACAAGGTCTGGGTATGTAAGAGAAAAAAGCTATGGAGCACAACCTTCAAGGAAGAGAGACAACTCCCAATCTAGTAATGAATTATTGGTGATGATTGTGGACTAACAACTAATTTTAATACTCAACTTTTGATACACACGTGCACACCAAAAAAAAAAAAAAAACACATTGTATCATCACAACTTTTGCGCCATCGTTGACATTGTGTGGTTGGGTAAAACTAAAGATATCCGTCTATAAATTTAGTTACACAATTCCCTGAGCATTTAAAGCTGCAAATTGAGATGGAGAAGATAGGCCTTCAGTGAGTGATGCTGCATGAAAATGATTGAATGATTGATATTGTTGGGCTATTTACCCTTGGTGGATCCAAGCCCAAATATACAAGACCAATTAGGATATGGGGCCTGGTCAGAATGTAGAGGAAGTATTTGCTCTCCAGGTGTAATTAAGATGAGCATTGGAGTGTAATATTCCCTTCCCTCTTAAATTGTGGAGGGAAAGTTACATGCACGGACAACCATCTCTTGAGTGGGAGTCATATATGGGATGCATGAAATCAGAAGATAACTCACTCTACAGTCTCCGGAGAAACAACCACTCTCCCATTTCTCTCTTTCTCTCCTCTGTGCATTTGCTGTGAAAACCCAAATCAAGTTTGCATCACAACTCCGTTCCTGCACAGAGATCATCCAGTGCCACTAACAGGTTTGTTTCCTCCTCTACTTTCTTACAGATATGACGACAATAAATAAATATTTGAAGTTCTTTGTTGATTTTTTTCATTTGCCTGTTTAGCAATCGAAGTATGTTGAATGGCTGTTCATCTTTGAATTCATTGAAATTAATGTACTTGATAATATAAAACGAGGATAGACTATTTCTTAATTAATATAATTTTGATTGCATTTGAATAGTTTTTTTCTTTATATACTATATTACCTATTATATATAATACAATTAAATATTTTAATAGATACAGATTAACAGATTTAAACTATCACAAAATTAAATAATGAATCTACATTGAATTTATCTTCCTTTACGAATTAGCTAGCTACAACTTTGACGAATTTGATAACATGTTCGCCACACATTTCTCTATTTATCCTCAATATAATCCCCAAATTATGAGAGAGATTTTATTCTATAAAGTAATATTTAAAAAAGTGTATAAAGACGTTCCCTAGCCTACAAAATGACCTACCACGAGGGTGGAAAATTGTCAGCAGCATCAATGGAGTTTCTCTCTGTCTCTCTTTGCTTCGTCCTCTTTCTCTTCATAATCCAGAGGTGTGTCACATTATATAATTATTTGTCTGATGAATTTATATTTATTTAATATTTAATTTTGCACAATATAAAGACAACAAATTGTTCTATTCACCTCGAATAAGTGTAGATATATGAATTTGGTTACTTTTGATGTTTCTTGTCTCCGTTCGACTATGCTCTGGATTGTGACCATAGGCCCACAAATGAAGATCGATGAACCCAAGATTTTAATCTAGTTTGCTGGCCGAAGTTCTTTTTCAAGAAGGCTCTAACAGAAGGTTTCTCTTCGATGGTTACGTGACTGATATTCACTCTTTCCTCAGCAAGTTGACCATCGTGGTCATAGAATATTTCCTCGAGCCAATCTTTTGCAGGCTAACACTTGTTTATCCCGTTTCAATTTCTACTTTTAACTTTAGCCTGCTATTTGTTTATTTTCGTTGTTCTCTTTTTCATACCTGTTTTTTATTTTATTTTTTTTATGTTTGCTACTATTTGCTTTTAAATAAAAAATATATAAGATAAATTTCTCCTTTTACCAATGGATGCTTATATTTAGTGTCCGATGGCAATAAAAAAAAAATACTATTTTCTTTTTTCCAGTGTGACATCTCAAAAGCCAACTATCAAGGAAAACGCTATCTATCCTCCAAGAGGCTGGAATTCTTATGCTGCTTATGGCTGGATAATTAATGAAGATGATTTCATGAAGAATGCTGGAGAACTTTCCTCACGTCTTCTTGATCATGGATATGAGGTAATTAATAGCAAAACTTTATTTACACTTAAAAAAAACGATCGGGAGAATAGAAAATTGGTCATAAGGGAACTAATTAATTCAAAATAAGTTTCAAAGTGCTAAACTCCAAGAATTTAGAAGTTTTGCTCTCAATTTTTGCAACTTCATTACTACGAATTTGCAGCTAGTGCTCTAAATTTTGACAGGAAAAATTTTATTTATTCTTCAATCATGTTAAAATTTAAAAAATAATTTATAAATTCATCATAATAAAGTTTTAAAATTGAGAGTTGAATTTACAAATTTATGGAATTTGACACTTTGGGACTTAATTTGAATTGATTGGTCCCCTTGGGACCTAGTTGTCATTCTTCCAAAAAAATAATAACAAAGTTATATTAATTTTTATATATATCCAATTCATTAACGAATAAGGATAAACCAAATCAAATATTATTCCAAGTATACATATAAGCTTGAATATGAAATATATAATTCTTAAAATAATTAATGCTTCATATTATTCTACACTTTTCAAAATCTCTTTTTCCCCCTAAATTTTGCTCTGCCCTTCAAACCCTTAAACAAATAGTTGAAGAGATCGAAGGGACCGGAAAGACCAAAAATTACAAACAATTGCATAACAGCGAAATATCTTCTTAAAAATGGTAACTAATACTATATGTTTATTATATATGTGTTAAAATTAACATATCATTAAATATTTTGTGACCCTTTGGTCATGAAATTGCGACGACATATTTTATGAAGAAATATTCTATTTCAAGATTCTGTGCAACAAACATTATTGGAACAGAATAATTAGTCCCCAAATCCTTCACAAATATTTGTGATGCCATTGGTTGTTCTAAAGTTCGAGACAAAATTTTAGATACGTAATATTCTGAGATAAATTTAAATGATCTAATTGATAAAAATTAAATTTTAGAGACCAAACTTGATAACTAAAAAAATTAGAGGGACTAAAAATTTCATTATCGATCTATATAATTTACTGATATATTTTTGAATACGTAGGTTGCTACTGTGGGTCCATTTTGGCATAGGAATGTTGATGATGGAAGTGACAGCGTTGATGAATGGGGGAGACCATTCCCTGACCCAAAGAGGTGGCCTTCTTCTGTTAATGGCGTAGGGTTTAAAGACGTTGCTCAACGAGTTCACAGATTGGGTCTCAAGTTTGGGATTCATGTTATGGGAGGGATAAGTAGAGCAGCAGACAGGAAAAACACTCCTATTCTCGATCTAACACGGTATATATAAATAAATCTCTCTTCTTCTTTGATTTATTGCTTACATGCATCCTCCTATTAGAGAATCCTCCTATTAGAGAAATCCTATTTGAAATATAATTGGACGTTAAAGGCACAACTTTAGTAAAGATTTAAAATTTAGTTCGTTACGTTATAAAAGACTAGTCTCTTTTGTTAAATTTAATTCTCATTGTTGTTGTTGTTCTTGTTAGTTGAATAATGATCTATCTGTTTCTGCATTCTCATGCCCCCAATCTTATAGCTTATTGGAAGAATGACGGCAAGGTTCCAAAAGTTTAAATTAATGATAATTAGATTCCAAACAAAATTTTCTAAAAAATGAGTTGTAAATATCGATCTCTATAATTGCAAATTTGATAATTTCAATTGCAAATATGTATTTAAGTACTAAATGCAACTCTTAAACTATAACAAGAATTTTTATTTGTAACTGATATTTAATTTACAACTTATTTTTTAAAATATTTTGTTAGAGACCTAACTGTCATTAATTCAAACTTGTGGGATCTAACTGTCATTCTTCCTGGTTTATTAGGTTGGGAACGCTAGAAGTGAAATTAGAAAACAAAATTAAGATAAAATGACGAAACAGATCACTCAATAGTATTGCAAGGGGATCAAAAGTCAGAAGGTCTTTAAATGTTAAAAATAACTAAAACAGAACATGGTGGATGAAAATATCTTTACTCAGTTGGCAAGCTGGACCTAGAATGAAGGGACATAATATATACTTAAAAAATATTAATTTTTTATAAAAATAATTTTAAATATTTATTAAATTACATTTAGAATATAATTTGATAAAATTAAATACTAAAAAATAATTCATAACACTTGAAATTATAATAAATAAAAAGGGTTTTTATATCAAAAAAATTTGAGAATCATTTTTTTATTAAATAAAATCTATATGCTTTTTTTTATGGAAGAGAATTTTTTTGTGATAAAATTTTTTATAAAAAAATTTCTTAAGTATTACTCCTCTTGTCTAAAACTATTGTTATTGAAGGTTTTGTGTGTGTGTGTGTGTGTAAGATTTTAGCTCGTAAATCTTTTAGTGGGATAAGTGAAATTTTTCAAGGGGAGAAGAATTTTTTTTTAAAGGTGGCAACGAGATTGTTTTTTCTGGGGGATTACCCTACATATAATTTCCTCTTGCCTGGGATGTCCCTGCTAGCAACATAGCTTAAATGTAAATTTTGGAAGATTATTTGCAAATAATGAAATATATATGGGTTGTGAATTCCATTAGTTGACATTATATTTAATTTGAAAAATTGGTTTTAATATATTAATCGACAACTCAACTATTCATTATTGACCACTAATTTTCCAAAACTTAAACTGGACTATATTGCCAAACAATAAAGGCATTTGTCCATCATGCTTTTTTAATGGGGGAATGACAAGTTAGGACCTCATTAATATCAAATCAAGATTTTTTCTTAAAAAAAACAGTTTCAAATGAAACATGGGAGAAGGAGTTATGACTTATGAAATAAAATTTAGTTGTGAAAAAATAATTTGACATTAATATTTTTATAAGGTCCTTATTTGTTATTCTCTCTCTCTTCTTTTCTTTTGACAATTGTGGGCCATCGTGAGACTTGTATGTTAACAATTCGAGGGTTTGCATGTTATTATTAACTTGGGAGAAGGAGTTATGACTTATGAAATAAACTTTAGTTGTGAAAAATATTTGATATTAATATTTTTATAAGGTCCTTATTTGTTATTCTCTCTCTCTTCTTTTTCTTTTGACAATTGTGGGCCATCGTGAGACTTGTATGGCAATTAACAAATTCGAGGGGTTTGCATGTTATTATTAACTTCCAAACTGTTTCAAGGGGAAGCTTAATTAACTCTATAATGTCTTTTTCGGTAATCTAACTAAAAGATTAATTTCATTGTATTGCAATAACTTTGTCAGAAAAAACCTTATTTCGAGCTTCATACGTGGAGAGCAGGAGAAATATATACAGTGCCGTGTTCCTATGAGTTTAATTTCTTACATGTCAACACATCATTGGGAGCTGGAAAAGCCTACATGCATTCTCTCATTCAGTTGTTTGTTGATTGGGGTGTTGATTACGGTACATATACTCTCTTCAACTTCATATTTTGTTATTATATTATGCTATTTAGAACTACACATTGCTTGGAATACGTCAAATTATGTAACAATAGACAATCTATGTGCCTTGTATTAGTATAAAATTGCAAGCGTTTGTCATGTGCCTTACATCAGAGAACCTCAAAAGTGAAATGTGGTTGATAAGTATGAAGGGCTCTTCTATCTAACATGCTAATCTTTGGAATAATGAGCTACTTTGATTTGTGCTGATGACATTGGTACTTTTATTGAAAGTTTGGTGTTATGGAAATGACTATCTATAGATTTTTTGACTGACAGGAGGCTAAGGAAGCTCTATGTTTCAAAGGGGGTGTTGTCATCTTAAGTTTCACATCGAGGAGCCTCACAGTTAGATTATGGTCTATATGTAAAGAGACTCTCCTATTTAATAGGCTAATGTTTTGATATGTGCTATCCCTTTCAGCTTATGCTTTTGATATTGATGCTTTCATTGAGTTTAAACTCACAAAAATATAGCCTCCCATGAAGGTCCTGACTGGGAGGAAGAAGCTAAGTGAAGTGCTATGGTTTTGTGCTTGTCACAATGTTATATGTTGTTAATTTGATCGTCTCTATGCATGATTTTTTTTTTAATGTTTTTTACAGAATAGGACCTACAGTTCAAATGAATGAAAGAAAGAAAACATTTTGCATAGATATATATATATATATATACTATGTTACAGACTTAATTGGAATTTGTTCTTTTGCAGTGAAACTTGACTGTGTGTTCGGGGAAAGCTTTGATTTAGGTACAATAACTACAGTATCAGAGGTATAAAGAATATCTTCTCATACTATTATTTGTGAATTACTGTCGAGATTGTTAAATTTTTTTCGAAACTAAAATCATGAGAAAACTACTACCAAAAAAAAAAAATAACGAGAAAACTAACCATAAGATAATAATGTTATACCCAGATAATGAAAACGCTTGACGAACCTATGATCCTTTCTGTGTCTCCTGGAGACAAAGCAACAGTGGAGATGTCTAAGCAGATCAATGGATTGGTAAACATGTATCGTGTGGGTCCAAATAGCTTGGATCAATGGCCACTAGTGAGAGACCATTATTTTGATTTAGCCAGGTGATTGAATTATTATTATTATTATTATTATTATTATTATTATTATTATTATTAATGTTATTAATGTTATTATTATTAGCATTAATGTTAATGAAAATATGTATATTTAGCTCTATTGTATAATATGCTTGCGATTTATTTACGGTGGTAAGATTCAATAGAAGTCACTATTTATTATTGGGAGAGTAACAAAGAGGTCCCACATTCAAATTAGGTCTGAAGTGCCAAACTTCATAAATTTGTAAGTTTAACTCTCAATTTTGTAACTTCATTGTGATGAATTTGTAACTTGTGTTCTAAATTTTAATAGGAAAAACAAATTTATTTATTTTTAATTATGTTAAAATTTAAAAAATAAGTTACAAATTCATCACAACAAAGTTGCATAGTTAAAAAATGAACCTGAAAATTCCTAGAATTTGGCATTTAAGAACTAATTTAAATTAATTAATCCTTGTGGAACCTATTTGTCATTCTCCCCTATCTATTCCCTTAGGCAATATTTAAAGGGAAATAGCAGTGAAGGACTGATGGAGAAAGTTTATATCAGATAAGGACTAGTTATTATTAAAATTGAAATGAAAAAAAAAACTGAATGAACTATTGTTAATTTAAAATAAATTATTGTTAAAATCTGAATGGATACTTATACATTTGAGTTTTGATAATAAGTAATTCTCAATTAATATAAATTTTCTTCAGCTAATTGATGTTTCCATGTTTAAAATTCAAACCTTGCAGACAGAAAAATTCGTGTCAGGAAAACTCTCCAGATCGTACTAATGGACAAAAGTTAATTTAAGGACATATTTTTCACGCAAGTTAGTATGATAGAGTAAATGTCAATTCTGTAAATAGAAAAAGAGGAGAGGTAGTTAGTATGGTGTCTGTAACCTTCTGTAGCAACAGACGCCATAATTCATTGGGACGTCATAATGAATCACCAGCTTCCTCCCTCAATGAACAGACGCCATAATTCCTTCCAATTACAGTGTCTCTATTATATTTTCACTAGTAATGAAAATTAGCTATTTTTACTACACTTATTTATGTTACATTACATGTACAATAATAAAAATACATTTCTAATAGTAACAAAAATTAGTGTTTTGTAGTAGTGTTAGACCCGATTATACTTGAACATGACCCAATATATAATCAAATGCCACATAGTTAGTTGTATGAAAAATAACATGTGACTTAGCACCAGTTTAGCCTCTTCTTTCAGGGATTATGCCGCAGCAAGGTTGATTGGAGTTGATGGTTTAAGGGGGAACTCATGGCCTGATTTGGACATGTTACCATTTGGACGGCTAACAGATCCAGGTATTATATATGGCTAAAATATTGAAAAAAAAATCAATAGAATTTGTCTTTAACATGGATATTTTTGTTTTCTTTTAATTCTATCACTCGGTATTCTAGAAAGCTTGGGAACTTGGGGTATCATCATCTCTTGCCCAAACTAATTTGAACCAATATTATTACCAAAGGCAGCCTCGAGAGTATTTTTGGTATATTTATTTAATGTGATTGTATATTTCAGGACTCAAACCCGAGATTTTAGAATAAGTTAACTCCCTCAGTCAATTAAACTAAGCACCCTCAGTTCTTCAACGGCTGATATGGGTCACTCAAAAAATGCCTTTTACAGGTGACTAGGAAATAGTATCATTAGGGGAAACCAACTTGAGAGGAAGCTTAAGACACGATGTCATGACTGGAAGTCTAGAACACACTTTTTGACATCAATGTATTGTTTATTAGTGCTAGGATGAGTATTAATTTTAAAAACAATTTCAAAAATCGCAGCAAGAATTAGATTCTGCGGTAGTTGGAAATTTACCTGTCAATAAGTTACATTTTTTTTTCTTTTTATTTTTACATGGTCCTCAATGAATTGAAAATTATGAAGAGGGTGGCAATTATATGTTACCATAACCTAGCGTTTGTTAGAGCTGAGTTTTTATCATATATATCAATTACCATAAAATGCCATTCTTCTTAATTGCTATTTACTTTTTGTAGAAAAGAAGGAAGGTCCACAAAGGCTTTCTCAACTCACAATCGATGAGCAAAAAACTCAGGTTTTTGTTCACATATGCTATAAACAAACTGAATTTGTTTCTCTTCAATTATAGACTAAAATATACATTTGATCTTTTAACTTTATATAAGCTTTCAGTTGAATTTTTTAATTTTATAAAGTATCTTTTTAGTCCTCTAACCCTAATACCATTAATTTAAAATGGTTATTTTCTGTGCTAATCATTTTTATTTTAAAAAATTAAAATTAATATGCCAACGTTTGATAATATTTTGTCAATATTTAAATATTCAATGTAAAAAATTAATATGTGTTAGGATTAAAGGATTAAAAATACACTTTATAAATTTAAGGGATCAAAATGAAATCTTGTGTAAAGTTACATGACTAAATGTATACTTTAACCTTAATTATATGATCATTAGTTTAATTATTGTAATTGAATAACGTATTTTGCTTTCACAGATGACACTGTGGTCAATGGCAAAATCTCCAATTATGTTTGGTGGGGACTTAGTGAGGCTTCCTTTAGAAACCTTTATTCTCCTCATACATCCTGTCCTCACAGAGATAAGCTTTTACAGCTCAAATAATATGGAGGCATGTGAATCATTTATCTTCTATGTTTTTTTACATCTAATTTCATTTTATATATGCAACCATTTTGTTTTAGAAATTCACAAGACCTATAGCTGCAGCCTGACACATTTCTACATGTAGTGCACGGATTTCAAATGAATCTCACTATTCATGACTTATAAATAATATAGGATTAAATGACAGGTTTGACCTTAAACTATATAGGTCCAAGACTATGATTAGGATCTTAAACTTGTTTTTGATGTAATGTTCCCCTCCAATATTTTGAAATAGTACAGTGTTACCCTTATCATTAACAATGTTAACCTTGAATGTTAATTGACCAAAAAATGACTTAAAAATTTCTTAGTCCTTTTCTATAACATTTTGGATCATTATCTATAATTTTTGAGTCATTTTCTATAATTCTTTTTGGTCATTTTTTGTAATTTTTTATGTAATTTCCTGATAAACTAACAGTCAAAGTTAATTTTTATCAAAGATAGAGATTGCACCGTTTTGAAAAATTGAAAGGAAATATTATGAAAATATCTAATCAAATGGTTTAAGCTATTTTGGTAGAGTATACTATCCTTAAGCATGTTTAATATAAGAAATCTAATATGGTAAGAGAGAGAATATTAGAATATAAGAGAAGTCCCACATCTAAACATTAGAAGATGAATCATGAAATATAAGTTTAAGTATTAGGAAGTATTCTAACCAAGTATCTAACCAAAGGCTTAAGCTATATTAACAGAGTATACTATCTTTAAGCATACTTAATATAAGAAATCCAATAAATATTACCCAAATGAGTTTAAAATCCTATGCACGACATATAATTGGATAAGGTTAGATTGCCTTTAACCCAATAATATATAAAATTTACATCTTACACCGACAATACTTTAAGACATTTGTTTTCTAAACAAAGTTTCACTAATTGGAATTCAAGCTCAGCTCTTTCATATATGGGTATTAGAGCATTTCCCCAAAAAAAAAAATAAATAGACTCATGAATAGTTAATATAATTTAACCTTAAATTTTTTTTATTAACATTTCACCAGTTTTGCTTCTTGATGACAGTTTGTTAATAAACCTGATACTAATCTTCGAGCTTGGGTTGCAACTGGAAGAAACCCTGGTATGTAATTTCTGTTTTCACATTTGATCTTACTTTTTTTCCTTTTGCCTAAAATATTATCCATTAATTCATACTATACAAATGTTTAACGCACCCAAAAAAAAAAAAGAAGAGCATACTCTTCATCAGTGCTCAACACAATCCATTCAAATATTTCAAATAAAATGTAATATCTAGACATGTTTTTTTTCATGCATTCTATAAAATAAACCGTACTATTCATAACTTATGAATATAGTGTGACATCTCTTGCTATATTTGTGTGTATTATGAAGAAATCGGTTGAGAAATTGAATTCTCAACTTAATTTTATTCAGAGTATGCGTTATTCAAACATATAGGAAAAGAACTAGGGTTTGGAAAATAAAATCAATTAAATCAAATTAAAGCTAAGATTTGACATGATCAGATCTGATCCTATTTTGAAAACAGAATAAGATGAAAGACACAAATAAATATAATTAAATAAGAGCAAAACCAATTCAGAATGGGCTTTGGACCATCGTTGCCCTCCAACATTTTACATAGGAAAAATTACTAGAAAGTCCCTCATTGGGACTAAAATAGTGCTGGAGGATCAAAGGACTAGGATGCAAGCAGGTTTTGGGTGTAGGCAGATAGCCATGAAATCTCAACCCTATCTTCTTGCATCCTAAGCCTATTTGATTGCACCTTAATCCTTTGGTTCTCCAACATAATTCTGAGTCCAAAGAGTCTTTTTATATATTGATAGCCAATCTATATATCTAAAGTAACACGACCATCAACAAAGGTTAGTTTAGTTGATATGGATTTGGCCCATAACATACAAGACTGTAGGATCAAATCTTGTTACCAATGTGAAGACCTTGTTGTTGGGCAATCTATAAGTACCTCTATAAGTTCTCATAAAACCTAGAGGATTGCTTTAACCCTTGTGAGGCCTCAGAATCCAACTTGCATAAACTTGAATGTATGCAAAGAAAAAATAACATGACTAAACTTAGCATCAATCAGTATATTTTACATTTCATTTGGGCCGATGATCCTTCTCTCTCTCCCCACTATATATATGTAGGGTTTTAATTTGTTGTTTATTTACAGGACGAGTGTATGTTGCACTTTTCAATCCACATGACCTTGCCAGGTCTACAAGCGTGTCACTACCATACATAGGAACTATAGTTCAAGGTCACCCATTCAGAGATTGCAAAGGCCGTGATATATGGAATGATGACAGCACAGTTGCAAATGGCTTTGCTTCAACACAACTTCGAATACATGGATGTTCATTGTTCGTTCTAGATTGTAATTAATTAATTTCAATCTGTTTAGCTTATAGTTGTTAAGTGATCAATAAATGTTATGACTTTAATGAAGCTTTCGGGGGGGTGTGTGTATCTATATATATAAACTATATATATATATATATATATTTATCTATATATATAAAACCACTGTTCTTCATGCGACAAATGCACTAGCTAAGTGAGGGTGATAAGGTCTTGACTGGTTGGGTCAAACTATCAAGCACATGTACTACTCTTGAATTATCTGATAACTACCTTCTCCCTCACAGAAATTAGGTTCAATGTGTTAAGTTATTCAAAGAGTTAAGCAATATGCCAGTTTATTTGACCGTTGATGATGACCAAACAATATACTCGGGAGATAGATAGTACTATAAAAAATACAGAGGAGAGAAGAGAACAAGAGGTGAATTTGAGTGTAAATTATGCTATGCTATGCTCATTTGTTCAAAATAGGAGAGCTTGTACACAAAGGGGGAAGAGCTATCATAATAAATATATGACTATTCTAGAATAATAACGATGAATAAAACAATAAATACAGGGAGTCAGTCAACACTTATACTAGAAAAATAATCCTGAGTAATGCAAATCATTTTAATTTATAATTATGATTAACACCCTCTATCAAACTCAAGATATATGGGGGAAATTATCTCAAGTTTAATTTGCCCACTGAGACGGAAATAACCCAAATAAGAGAATTGGTGAGCAAGTCGGCCGGTTGCTGAGCAGACTGGATGGGGATTAGTTTGTTAATGGCCTGAACATAACATGTTGCCGAGTAAGATAATCAATTTCAATGTTCTTAGTCTTCTCATGAAACACATTATTGTAAGTAATTTTTATGGCACTTTGATCATCACAATAGATATCAGTATATGAGGCTTATGGAGATTTCATATCAACATTGTCACGCCCCAAAATATGAGGGTAACCGACACGGGTGTGAACCACTCTCACATTCTCGTAAGCCTTCAAATGAATATTTATTCCATTTTACAAAAGAACAGAATAAAATTTAATCAAATCACATGAAAATTAAAATAGCTTTTTTTTAACTTGATATCATAAGAGATTGTCAATATTTTTGTAGAAATTTCGACAGAACCTCCCCTGTAACTAGGATCTCCCGAAAACTTTACAACAAAAGTTTTTACAAATAACAGTATAAATCAGGAGCGTAGTTCCTTCCCGCCAACAACCTATGTGGAGCATCTACTCTTTCTTTCAAATCAAAAAGGCATACAAATTATATATTTACATTAAAGCAACAATATCAATAAAAAAAGTTCCACCCACTGTAGCTAGTTGCCCTTTAAAGGTCAATGGTGGGATCAACGTCAGCTAACAAATTTGAGACCAAAATAAATTTTTCAGTGAATAGCATTCCCATGAAAAAGTTCTTAAAATTTTAATCAATAATCTCCAATAATGGTGTAAGCTAGTTAAATGCAATTCCACCAAAATTTATAAACATGCAAGTCATAACCATATTTATTAAATAAGAGTAAATTGTAAACAATTTATATTATCATGCTTAAAGAAAACAATCTGCTCTCATATAACTCAAAGTGATACAAATTACTAGTCAAAATCAAGTAAATTTTGAATACATATATTAATCAATATTTAAAATTTTTAGAACTCAACAGAATAGGTTACAAACGTGAACACACAATTCATGAGGGTAAATAACCAAATGCAGCTTATGCCACGAAAACAAACATGGACACACTAGTCCATGAGGGTAAGTAACCAAACGCAGCCGAAGTTATGAAACAAACATGGACACACAGCCCACGAGGGTAAGTAACCAAATGCAGCTCAGGCTACGGAATCAAACACAGATACAAAGCCTATGAATACCAAACGTGAGAATAAAACTCACGAAACAAATTAGCTAGTATTTAACCACAGTGCGCTACGGGCTAACGGAACTGCCGTTAGCAGCAGTGTTCTGTTTGGAGTCCTCTCAAAAATTATATTTCGAACATGCAAGAAAATAATTACTTTTGAAATATAATTAGCGTTTCCAATGCCAAACTCACATGTATCACTTTAAATTTTAATTTTAAAACCTGTTGAAAATAATCTTTCATAAAATAATATACGAGCTTGCATTATCTAAATAACCAAGGATTTCAAGAGTTTAATAAACCAAAAAATTCATAAATCCTTAACACATATTCCTTGAGGAAATAAATGCATATATCCTCTTTTAAACATCTCACGTCAATATCACAAAGTTTCAAAACTAATGTAATTCACAAGAATAAAATATCTTAATGAAATTTTTTAAAAAAATAAAAGTACCAATAAAAATAAATTAAAGGGAATGCTATTCACTTACATGTTAAAGTTCTAGATTTTTGAAAGTATTCTTCTTATAAATCTTATCCGGGTTATGTTCTTCCAAACACCCTAAGATATAAATATATACAATTTTAATTACTTTTTAATTTATAAAACAATCTCTTTCAATCACCATCTAAAATTCAAAACCAGATTTATGATTTAAAGTGAGTTCAAGCATTGTCATTCATTCCTCTAACTTCCTTCATAAAACTTTAGCCTTGCCATTCTATTTTCTTGGAATAGGAGTTTTCTACCAATCTTTGCACCACTTACCTTAGGTGCATTACTTCTATCTCTCTAATTTTAAATCTTCAACAATTCATCAAAAATCAAACAAACTCGAAATATGCACATGACTACGTACAAGTCCATAATTAAATTTCTTAACAAATCTACAAGAGAAGTTCTAAGCTATTAATTCCCATTAATATTTAGAAGTTAAATTTTATTTCCTCATACAAGCCCTTCAATGATATTTCATAGGCATCAACAATATATCTAAACTTGTCTCTTCCAATTTCATACTAAATATATATATATATATATATATTGGTCAAGGCAGCAACAGAACACCCACCAAAATTTTTTTATAATTTCAATCCTTAATCAAAACTCTCTCTCTCGCACAAACTCATCAAGAAAAGTCCTTAAATTTCTCACCTCGAACTCCAGTAACGACAGAGGCAACGAAGAAGGCAGAATCTACAGCAAAATAGAGGAGAGAAAACGGAAATATTCAGCTGAGCAAGAAACAGAGGAAGACGCTGCACCATTCAAAGGAAAAAAAACCAGAATCAGTGTCGCCTCAACTCACAACCAGCATCACCCATTTCCGACGACCTTAATGCAGTGAAACGCTTAGCTCTTTCAAGGGAGAATGACGCAAAAATAGGGGAGAACTGTAACTGAAACAAACAGACTAGCCACGAGCACACCGGCGATGACGAGCTACGTGAACGCGGCGCCAGCTACGATTGAAAGGGAAGAAAGCAATGACCCACGAGAGTTTGAGCAAAATCCGTCCAAATCCTCATATCTCCTTCTGCTCTAGAATGCTCGAGAAAAGAAGGAAGAGTTAAAACATCTGATGGAACTAAGGGCAGTTTAGTAATTTCACACAGCCAGAAAAATAAAAATTTAACTCTCCTTTTGGTCTCTTCCAAATTCAAACTTGGGACCTTATATATGAAAGGTTGCTCAGATACCACTAAACCAAGTCTCTAACTTGCTATATTTATTCCAAAAACTAATATAAACACACTTTAATAAGTTAACCTATATATTTATTTATTTATTTATTTATTTTAAACTTAGTCAGGGTTATTACAAACATGAAACCAGAAAAGCTAGAATATTTGTAGCACTGTTTGTTAGCTAGTGCATGATACTCAAATTCAGTACTGGAATGGTAAGCCAATGTTTGTTTCTTACTCCTTAATGAGATAAGAGAGTCATGAGGCAGGATGCAAAAGCTAATGGTAGACAAAGCTCAGTGTGGTGATCACCTCCCCAATCAGCATCAACGTAGAACCGATAGAGAAATTAAGGCCACGATACATAGTACCCTTAATAAACTGAATAACGTGAAGAATTTCTAAGCGAGTGGTGCTAGAGGAGATGGCATAAATTTGTTGACAATATGAACAATATAGGCAATAACTGGACGAGTCAATGAGATAGATGAGACTCTCAACCGAGTACCATCATCAGGGGTCAACCAAGCATTGGGTTCTCTAGGGGTGCTCTCAATTCACTGTGTTAGAGAGATGAGCTCGGGCAGCTAAATAGATTCATATAAACTTAACCAGAGATAGAGAAATACCATCATCCATAGTGAGGACTTCTAAGCCTAAGAAGTACATTAAATTTCCAAGATCCTTCATTTCAAACTATTGTCCAAGAAAGTCCTTGAGTTTGTGAATCATCCCTATTGAATCATCACCTATAATGATCATATCATCATCAACAACTTAATCCCACGATCAGTTCTGTGAACGAAGAGTGCGGAATCACAAGGACTACATGAGAACCCAAGGTGACTGATAATTGAACTGAATTTAGCGAACTAAGCATGAGGTATAACATCCTGGATTCTAGGAAGCCCTAGACTTGGTCTATGAGCCCTAGAGAGAGCCTAAGAAGGTCCCTAGGATCATTAGGAACAAGTTCAGAGTGTTCTAGAAGCCCTGGGAGTAATTTAGGGTTGTTACTTGGAGGGAGTTTTCAAGGATGGGATATCAAAGGCCGGATATATAACTTAACACATTGTACTTGTGGGTGTGAACAGAGAGAAGCTAATCAAAAGGCTCGTAACCGGTGCTGGACAGAAATAAATTAACAGCGCATTAATTTTAGGATTTTTGAATTTTAGACATGCTAAACTGTGCACTGAGAAAAAAGATTATTTTAAACCCTCATCACTTAAAATATCTTCAAGGGATGTATCTCCTTGTGTTCATAATGAAAGTATTTTGAAATTTCAAATCACTGTGACCCAATTGTGGTCAGAGCGTTGAAGGAAAATGGCTCGAGTAAAGCCCTTTTGAATTAACTATTTTAGAAATTCACTTGAAAGACATGTTATTATGTAATTTTGAAACTTATTGCAAATTTTGGATCTAGACATATTAACGTATTTATTTATGAGAATTTAAATTTGTATGAAAGTTTTGTTGATAAATAAGGCGGCTGTAAGGCACGGAGTTGTCTTGCGACAACCTTCGAGTTTATAACTCAGAGACGTATCTAAGCAAATGGGGGCACTTGCCCCTACTAATGCCAATGTCATGTCTTAGTTGTGATGGGGAAAATTGCACTTGGCTCCTCCAAACAATTGCCATATATTACTCTTGCACCCCTCAATTTTTTTTTTCTAAATTGAAGTCTGAACATTTTCTTTCTCATTCAACCAAGAAAGATAATATTATTTTTATCACTGACTTTGTTGTAGATAGAGTTATTAATATGAGAAACTAAAAAGAATGCTGGTTATAAATACGAGAATAAAATAAAATTTTATTAAATATTTTTTAAGCTTCTCAAATAAACTATTAATCTTCTTTTTTCTAAAATATAACAGGCCAGATTCTTTAATTATTAATGCATACTCATTCATAATCAAGATAACACTTTCTAATAAAATAGAAAATATTTTTAATGGTTTATATTGAAAATATTTATTCTGAAAAAGAATGATTCTTTTCGTTAAAAAAGAGTATTAGAGTGTGATATCGAGAGCTACTACTTATTGTATAATTTTAAATATAATGTTTTTGTTATATTAAAATAATTTATTTTTTAATTTATTATAATTTTATCGTAGTTTTATTATTTTTTATGTATTTAATTTTTTTAAAAAATATTTTTTATTAAATTACTAAATATTTATAGCTACATTTAAAAAATATTAATATTGTTTGATATAAATTTTGCCCCCACAAACAAAATTTTCTAGGTCGGTCACTGTTAAAAGTCAATAATGATCTTAGTGCCGAAACATGAACTTGGAGTATGTATGAAATGTTACGATTAATCATATAGAATGTACTAATTAGACAAGGATGCTTTGAGAATGAATGAGGATGATGGTAATTAATAGAGGTAGTCGCATATTTGTGATTAATCGTAAGTCTACTTTACTTGTAAACTTTAATATGCATGTATTGGGTGAATTGGTGATGTTACCCTACTACTTTTAGTTTTACCCACATGGTTATAAATTTCAGGTGGAAATGCAGGTCAGAAAAAGGGAAAAGCACCGGGGGCATTGTATATAGGTTATTGCCATTTAATTAGGGATCCATTTTACGTTATGACTTTAATTTGATTAAGTTGTGTTGAACTCATTAAATAATAGAGAATGCTCTTAGTCTTAGGACATTATTATGTTTGTGGATTAGTTGATTTTGAACTAAAGAATGATATATGATGATTTGTAATGAATTGAGAATGAGTATATATCATGTGTTTTTTTTTTTATTCCAACGCTCAGTATCTTAAAAAACTTGGGGTACTATCACCTTCTATTATGTAGGATCATTATTACTAACGGCTAGAGTCGAAAATAAAGACCGAGCTTACCGAGCCGCCTATTAAGCCCATTTTTATAAGGATTTTGACTTGAAAAAATGTCATTTTTTAGGAACACTAGGCTTTGAAGCCCAACTCTAATAGGTCCTAGAAAAACGGGCTTGAACAACCCTTTTAAGCACTTTTTCATCTTAATTCTACAAAAATAAAATATTTTTATTTTTTAAATTGAATTTAAACTTTAAAATATATTTTTATACTTTAATATTTGATTTTCTATTATTTATTTTTAATTTTTAATATTACAATTTGTATTTTAAAAAGATATGAAATGTTATAATTAAAATTTTTATTTTTTAAAAAAAATAAAAAAATAATAATAAAGGACTTATGAGTTCGGTCTTGAGCCTTTTGAATAAAGGTCGAGCTTCAAAAATTAAATAATTTTTGAGAAACCGGCCTTAAGGGCCGAGCTCATATAGACTAGGTTCGCCCGTTTTTCACCTCTACTAATGACATTCTCATAAGTATCACAAAGATAACAACACTGCGTATCCTTAATATTGAACTTAAAACCTCAATATAAGAGAATTCAATTTTCTCAATCAATTGAACCAAGCATCCTTCATACTACCATAAAAACGGCTATACTTGATTATTATTTTTAGCCCTTACTTCACAATTTTTAACCTTTAAATAAGATGGCGCCATATAGGCCACCTAGCTAGGGGATATGCCATGGATGAGCTATTGGATATAATGGAATGCTGTAGGCTTTAAATTGTCCTTAGCCCATTTGGTCTCGGGTTGTGTTGTATTAAAAATTTATATTTATATCTTTATAATTGTTTAAAAATGTAATTTTTCAATTTTATCCTTCTTTGTAATTAACAACCATAATAAATATTGTTGTTTAAGAATTCCAAAAAAATAATAAAATTTAAAAAATTTAATTATTTTAACTTTACCTTATATTAAAAATAAAAAAAATTCAAAATTTGTTACGAAGGGGAGGGAGTACAAGGCTGACGAAATAAAGCAAATAGGCCATCATGCTTAAAGCCCACACCGAGTAAGAAATTTTTCATGTCCCACAGACTTGATTGAAAATTTTAAGAAAAATTACGTATAAAACTGTATAAAGGATTTATTTTTAAATAAATTTTCTAAATATTTTAAAAAATACAGCTAAGTTCCTCGGAACTTGACTGTATTAAAATTTTAAGTGAAAAGACTTTTATGCCCTTACTTGCTAAAACCAAAAAAAAAAACACCAATTGGCTTAAGTCATGTTTAACTTTCATTTACAGCTACAATTTCAAAATTTATGGGTAGAAATTCTTAATTCACAAGTCCTATTTTGTGTCTTATAAATAATAGACTAAAGCTATGTTTATCTTTCACTTACTATTGTAACTTTATAATTTAAAAGTTCTTAATTCATAAGTCATATTTTGTGTTTTATAAATACAAATATTTCCTCTGTTAAAAAATATAAAATATTTTTAATCAAATAATAAAGTAGTTATTTATTTTCAAACTAACCCTATCTTTTCATATTTACTCTTATAAATATCCTAAAATAAATATAAAATAATTTATTCAATAGGAGCACTTAAAAAAAAAAGGTAATGATTACACATTAAAAGACTAAAAATGTCTTATATTATTTAACATTCAATCACTCAAAAACTACTTTATATTTTTTAACAAAGGAAGTATATCCTTTTTTTTAGATAGAATTTGCTTTATTTTAATAAAGGAAATATTGTTTTTGCACCCAAACCATAAATTACACTCAATTCTCAAATGACTTAGTTATGGCCTATTAATTTCACGAGATTTATTTGTGGATAAGTCTCTTATATGATATCTATACATAATTCCCAAAATTTTATATTATAAGAAGAGAACTGCTTATTGCAAATAGACTCAATAATACATGAATTTATTGGGTTTGTTAAGTCTACTTTTTTACTTAAAAATTATGTGAAATCATTTGTAAAATTGACAGATGCTAAATCCATTCACGTAGTTGCCCATTAAGTATGTTCATAGGTTAAGATAGGATCCATGTATGTGAGGCTACGATTTTGGTGATTCTAATTTGTTTGTGCTTTAATTCCCAAATTCAATTACATTGAATGACTATTCATGTCATAACGGGGAAAATAAAAGACTATTCATGTATACATTTGTTGAAATATCCATATACCCAACAATATAAAATATGTATGGATGCATTCAATTTTTAATTAGTACAATTTGGTTTTCATTCGTATAATTTTTTCTTTTATATTTCATATTACCTATTATCTATAAAGTAATTATAAATTGCAATATCTAATTATTAACATGAATAAGCTATTACAAGTTTACGTTATGAATTTACATTGAATCTACCTTCATATACAAATTAACCGTATAACATTATAACTCACGAATTTGACAATATGATTAATACACATTTATCTTTTTTTCTTCTCAATGTAATCTCAAATTATGAGAGATTGTATTCCATAAATAAATATGCTAATAAGTATAAAAAGGTCTCTCAATTCCTAAAAACATACCTACCACCTGTGGAAAATATCTTCAGCAGCAACTATGAAGTATCTTTGTGTCTCTCTTTGCTTCCTCGTCCTCCTCCAGTTTCAGAGGTCATAATAATAATATTTTATTATATGTATAATATGATCTGTTTATGAGAGAGATAAGAAAATTATTTAATCACTTGCAAAATTATTTTCAGTGTCTCATCACAAAATAATGCTGATGTTCCACCAAGAGGCTGGAATTCCTATGCTTCATTCAGCTGGATAATTTCTGAACAAGAATTCTTAGACAATGCTGTTGAACTTGCCAAGCGTCTTCTTTCAGTTGGATATGAGGTATAATAAATTATCCTTAATTTTTTTAATCCAATTTTTTTAATTCCATCATTCAATATTCTAGAAACATGGGATATCACCACCTCTTACCTAAACTAATCTGAGCCTCCTACCTTGACGACACCTTTGACATATTTATTTAACACACACGACTGTATATCCTAAGACTCGAATTCAAGACCTTAGGTAAAGATATTCAATTTTTTTACCTAACAATCACCACCTCCCACCCAAACATTGGTGGCTTCACGTACCTTGAAGCACCTTTGATATTTATTTTATGTGACTGTATATCCAGCAAGATTTGAATTTAAGATCGAGGATAAGCTAAAACTAGTTAAACTAAGCGTCCCTTGGTCAAGAAATACAATTTTTGACTAATATACTTTATAAAATAATGCTAATATTTTCTCTTTTTATTTGTAGTATGCTGTGGTGGATGCTTTTTGGTTTAGAAGTCTTGATGACGGAAGTGATACAATTGATGAATGGGGGAGACCTTGGCCTGACCCTAAAAGGTGGCCTTCTTCTGTGAATGGTGTAGGCTTCAAAGCTGTGGCTGATCAAGTTCATAGATTAGGTCTCAAGTTTGGGATTCATATTCATGGAGGGATAAGCCAACGTGCGGTTGCTCGAAAAACTCGTATCCTTGATTCCTCTACGGTACATATATATATCACCTTCTAATTATAAGTTTTCTTTGATAAAATGGATCAGTATATATTGAAAAAGAAAAGAACATTAAAGTACAGTAGTTCAAAAGTGAAAAAGAATAGGGAAAGTGGAAATTAGTTTTAACATTTGCAATTGAAAAGATCTTTTAATAAGCTATGAATGTAACAAAGTCAGAGTAGATATGCCCGATTATATTTACGCATGAAGCTTTTGAAGTATTGTTTCTTGTAGCAAACCAAATTGAAGTTTGACTTTGCTTTGAGAAAAAAGGCACTTTTAGTTCCATAATTTTATATAAAATTCAGTTTGTTCATTTAATTTTATAAAATATCATTTCATTTCTTTAACTAGCTTTAACATTGTTAGTCTCAAATAATAATTTTTTATATTAGCCATTTCTATTTGAAAAGATTAAACTTAATATGTTGATATTTAAGAATATTTTATCAATTTAGACATTCAATGTTTGTCATTGACTCATTTTGTTTGTTGATAAAATTAACATTGTTAGAATTAGAGGATTAACACTTTATAAAATTAAGAGATCAACATAAAATATCATGGAAAGTTAAAGGATCAAATATGCACTTTTGTCTTTTGCTTTTATGTTAGGTAAAATATAATTCTTGGTCACTATATTTTTAATGTGTCCTAGTGTTAGTCCTTATCATTACTAATTGTTGGTCACTATATATATTGCTCCAAGTTGCTTAAGTTTTATATATATGTAACATTAGTGTTTATCATTACTAATAGAGTTAAATATACTAATGTGTACATGACTCTATTTAATTTTGTTGCTGATTTAGTAAAAGTATGATGAGTTCGATACTGTATGAACAAATTGCTAGCTACTATACTTTTTGCATATCTACCCTATTCTTATTTTAATTTGCTTTTTTTTAGAAAAAATTAATCTTTTAATCCTCCAACTTTTAAGTCACTTGTAACTCAATCTCTCAACTATGACTCGCTGTGACTTAGTCCCTTAACTATAACTCGCACATGACTCAGTCCCTCAACTTTTGAATCACTTTCAAATTAGTCCCTTAATTTCTATAAATTTTTTTTTATGTTAGCTTATATCTCACATCAATTAGCAAGAAGAGGATATTTTAAAATAATATATGAGCATTTTTTATCCCTCTTATTTGATAAGAATTTTTAAAAAAAATTAAAAAATAAGGACCGAGTTATAGGTAAATCAAAAGTTGAGGGATTGAGTTGCAGCAAATTATAGTTGAAAGACTGAGTCGCAGTGAGACATAGTTAAACGACTGAGTTACAAGTGAGTTAAAAGTTGAAGGACTGAAAGATTAATTTTTTTTAATTTTTGTTTTTCCACTCATTTTTTATATAATTCATCATAATTTTAATAAGTTAGTACAGAAGTAATAGATTTTATGCACATGTTAGCTACCTGTTAAGTCCTTATAGTCATATTTAAAAGTATATGGACTAATATTGTAGACATATGAAATTTAAAGAACTTGAAACGATGAAAAAGGTATAAAAATTAATACCAAAACATATTATAAAAGTATGTATAAGGACCAAAAGTTGTATTTAATTTCCCTTTTTAATTTATTATTAACTATATGTATTGACATTATAATAAATATTCTTGGTGTTTGACCCATTTTAGTTTAGTCTTGCAAACTAATGATAATATAATACAATTGCATGATTAGGGGAAAGCTTATAATATAGGTGGTGAAGAGTGGCACGCAGATCGCATACAAAGTGAGCCTTGTGCATATGCTCCTACTTTCTTAAAGGTCAATACATCCGTTGAAGCTGGGCAAGTCTTCTTCAAATCTCTCATCGACTTGTACGTTTCATGGGGCGTTGATTTCGGTACTTAATTACTCTCTTCGACTTTATGTATGATTACTATCATATTTTGTCAAAAAATTGAAATGGGCACAAGCTTAGTGGTTGAAATGGAGAAAGACTAGAGGAATTATTTATGATTGAAATACCTGATAAGCTTAAAAGTTTTATGAACTGCTATATAAGACTAGCCATGTTATAAATGATGTATAGTGAATGTTGGACTTTATAAAGGGGCAAGAAAGGCATCATGTTGGTCAAAATAATAGAGATGAGGATGTTAAGATAAATATGTGGGTATAAAAAAAAAGAAATCTTTATACAAGAATAAGTGGGTGTGGCACATATATTAAGGAGAAGATAGTATATAATTTATTTGAGATGGTTTGAACATGTATAAAGAAAATTGTGAGAGGCATTGGTCAGCAAAGTGGAATAGGAAAGTTGCTGAACGAAATATTTTGATTAACAATATATACACTCCAAAGGTTTTTTTTGGTTATACAGCCTTAAGTGTCATGTAATCTACATAATCAATTCTATCTAATAGGATAAAGCTTTGCTGAATCATGTGTTCTAATTTTAAAATAAAGAAAACCCAATGAAAGCAACCCAGAGATTTTTGACTAATTGCACAGAAAATGAAAAGATGACGACAGAAATATAGAGCATATTTGAAATTATTTTTGTTTTATTATTTTAAGAATTGATATTTTGTAGAACATATTTAAAAAAATAATAATAATAATAAATATTTTTTTATCTTTCCTTGTTCTCCATAACAACAATCTCAAAACATTTAAAAAATGTTTCTGTTTTTTTATTTTTTAGAATAATATTTTATTTGTTGATTTTCCAAAACACTTTTTAAAGACTGGTTATCAAACAAATTTTATTTATTTTTTATTTCAAAAAACAGGAAAATATTTTTAAAATAGGTTGCGCTTGTATTTTCTCATTTTGTTACTCTTCAAAGATAGCCGCGTCATTAATTTGCATAACATTCCTTGAGTCCCAATGACCTGTGGGCTCCACTATTTCATCCTTTTCGATCAGTCGTTACTTGAGTCTCACTACGTTAATTGGCATGTCATATACTGTGCCATGGTCTATGTACAAATTGTCATGGTCGCTTTAATTGACTTAAATAAATTATTGTCTTTTCGCAGTGAAACTTGATTGCGTATTTGGTGAAAATATCAATTTAGACACAATATCTACAGTGTCAGAGGTACGTTGGAATTTTACACACTCATTCATGAATTAATGACAATGGAAAGAATGTTAACGTATTATCATTACAACAACACATATACTCCTTTCTCTTATATTTATATTTATAAAATAGGGGGAGAAAATATTTTTTATCTTGTTTATAAATTATGTCATTATTTTTTTATCACAAGTTTTTTTTATTTTCATTAAATGTCTATAGACATATATATTTAATTAATTAATAAAAAATTTAAAATTTATTAAATATTTTTAGATAAAATTAATAAATTTTAATAATATTTTTTAATAAAAATATATTAAAAGTGATTTATAAATAAAATAAAAAAATTATAATAAAATAACAGAAAACTTTTAAGTTAAAAAAAATCGTATAACAAATTTATATAAAAAGTCACTGACACTTTTCATCAAACTATTCATGATGAACTGTGTGCCTCACCGTAGACATGATCTATCTGTGCAACACATAGACCCGATCCAAGTACAGATCCGACCCGGCCATAGTTCTTTTTTTTTTTTTTTAAAATGATGAGAAACTAAAGATGATGTTATGGCTTTATATAAGATTTTGGAAGAGAATGATCAGAGGCAAGTTTTGCTATCAGTGTCTCCTGGAGTCGGAGCAACAGAAGTAATGGCAAGGCAGGTCAGTGGACTTGTTAACATGTATCGTGTCACTCCCAACAATTGGGATCAATGGTCCATTGTTGTTGAACGTTTTGCTATAGCCAGGTAATCAATTAATATATTAAATTATTCAATTTATTATTTCATAAAGTATTAATGGGAGAATTTCATTAAAGGTCATTGGATGTGACATAATTTCAATTAAGTCCAAAAAATTCTGAAATTTCACTATAGGCTAATGAAACTAAAATGAAATAAATTTTATTAATTAAATGATCAAAATGCTCTTCAATTATAATTAACAAAATTAAAATAAGTAACATTACTATAATAAAAAATTAAATTATAGGTTTTACAAGCAACATTACTAAAATAAACGTAACTTGTTATTTTTATAATATTACTTATAAAAATCATAACTTAACTTATTATTCTAATATTATTACTTGTAAAAAAATCATAACTTGACTTTTTATTATAACAATATTACTTGTAAAAACTGTAATTTGATTTGTTATTTTATTAATGTTATTTGTAAAAACTATAACTTAACTTGTTATTTTAATCATATTACTTGTAAAAATCTAATGTTATTTGTAAAAATCACAACTTGACTTGCCATTATAGTATTACTTGTAAAAATTATAATTTAATTTGACTTGTTATTTCAGTAATTTTAATTATAATTAAAGAGCATTTTGATCATTCAACTAAGGAAATTTATTTCATTTCAATCCTTTAGGCTTAGGGTGAAATTTCAGAACTTTTTAGGCCTCAATTAAAATTATGTCACATCCAAGGGCCTTCAATAAAATTCTCCCAATATTAACTGCATGTGACATCAATTTGTTGGTTAACTATTAATTACTTTTCTTTTAGGGATTTTGCTGCTGCTGGTTTGATTGGAGCTGCTGGGTTGAAGGGGAATTCATGGCCTGATTTGGACATATTGCCTTTTGGATGGCTAACAGAACAAGGTTCATCACAATAATAACATTGAAATTTTCTTAATTAGAACTGATTTTAACACATGTTATGGGTCACCAGAAAATATTTTCTTTGACAGATAATTAACATTGGACGTTTCTTAATCATTTCATTATTTGTTTAGCGCACCCATCTGGTGTATGCTTTTTTCTTTACATATTCCTAAATGAGTATTATGGAACATATACTTATAGTCTTATTTTCAATGCAGAGAAAAAAATTATTATTTTTATCTTATTTATAAGTTATATTATTGAATTTTTATTATAAAATTTCTTCTTTTACACTCCAAGAAATTTTTGAGAAAGTAAACGTTGTTAAAGCTAAGTGTGTATATTTACTAAGGGTGCAAAGCTGAGAATTGATTATATTTTTAGATAGAGTTAATGAGTTTTAAAATTTCTTTTATTCTAATATAATATATTAGAAGTGACTTATAAATATGTCAAAAAGAATATAGAAAATTATAAAAATTTTGCAATTACATATGTAAATTAAACTAGAATATTGGACTTGCTTAAAATTAACTATATTATATATTAATTCTTACTTTCAACTTCACTTTTTAGATGTGAAGCAAGGTCCACACAGGAATTGTAATCTTTCGCCTATAGAACAAAGAACTCAGGTCTTGTGTTCAACGCATCACGAATTAATTAATTTGTTGTTCTATGTATTTTCATTAATCGGATTAATTGCTCAAATTAAATTGTAATTAATTAACATATTCTACTTTCACAGATGACTTTGTTTGCAATGGCAAAATCTCCTATTATGTTTGGTGGGGACTTGAGGAATGTTAATCCAGAATTACAAGATCTTCTCGCAGATGGACTCCTCCTACAGATAAACCAAAATAGTTCAGACAACACAGCGGTAAGTGAAAAACACACACAACATTAGTGTGTTTTAGTTAATTAAGATAATTAATAATATACTTTTGATTTATTATATACATAAATAACTCAGGGAAAATCTCATCAAATGTCTTCAAAACTAAGATATTCACAAAGAAGGTTCAATAGAAAATGAAATTATTGCGTGCAGGGCCATGGGCCTTGATAGCCATTAAAATTTTTTAGTGAACTGACGCAAAATGCCTCTTAATCTTTGTTTTTTTTAACAAAAAATGGGTTGTTGTCGCTGGTCGTTGGAGTCACCACACTAGTGAGGAGGCTACCACCGTCAATCACCAAAGCTCCAACATCGACTACAAATAGTCAATCTTGGTCAAATACACTAAGGGGCTAAGGTGACTGATGTGGTGGGCTCTAGCGGCTGGTGATGGTGGCAATTTTTTTATCAAAAAATATTAAGGGTCATTTGTGTCATTTAACCAAAAATTATAATTGCAATCAAGGCATTTGTGCCAGCGCATTATTTCATGTTTCATTGGGCTCTCTTTGTGAATATCTTTGTTTTGAGGGCATTTAATTAAACTCTCCAAATAACTTACTCCCTTTGATACCTATTATAAGACATTTTCAATTACTTTACTAGATTGAAGTCAAAAAATGATAGTTAACTCATTAAATGGCTTTACAAGATTTTTTTTTCCAACTTTATTTCTACTTAAAATAGGAAGAGAGAGATACACAGTATATAATAAACCCAAAAAAATAAACTTATAGCAAGAGTAAAATTGAAAAATGATAATAAATAATCTTCATCCACCTTATAATAATGACAAAAAAATTATTCTAAAAAGTGTCTTATAATATGGATTAGAAAGAATATTTGTATGTTACAAGCACAAATCTTTTAAAAAAAAAAAAGCTCATCTCAAAAAGACTAATTAACTTATTTGGTGAGAGAACTCTTTAAATTTATAAACTTGATTTCACTTACTTGACGTGGGACTTCTATTAATGTGAGGATTACAAAATAGAACTTACTTACAGCTGCAATATCACGCCATTGTTTTCTAAATAATTTTTTGTTGACTGAGATTCAAACTCAAGATTATCATCAGCTATATATATATATATATATATATATGTAGGTAGTAAAGCATTTTCACAATAAAACGAAAAAAAAAATAATAATAGACTCAAGAATTATTGAATAAGTTAGTCTTAAGTACAATTTCATTGACATCTTTTCACTTTGGATTTTGATGACAGCTTATTCTACCGGAACCGAATGATCCAACGCTTCCTACTTGGCTTGCATCTTATGGTAACGGTATGTCTCTTTTTTTCCTTCATTATTTTTTCAAGTTCATCGAAAAGTTTGAACTCTAAATACATGTTCGGCACACGAAAAAATATTTTTTTTTTTAAAAAAAAGAGAAATGTATTTAAAACACTGATTTTTTTAAATTTTTTTTAACAATCAAATAGTGTATAAACTATTTTGCACACCCCAGCATGCTCAAATCATCTGAAATAGCCACTTATGTTTATAAAAAGTATGATTTTAGAATTAGGTTTGAATTAACTATCTTCACCAAATTTTTTAACAAGTAAAAAAACGTTAAGTATTGTTGAAATAAATTATACTCCCTCTGTTTAAAAATGTAAATTATTTTTTGAGGAGTTGAATGTTCAAAAATATAAGACAATTTTAATCTTTCGAGGTGTAATCATTGTCTTTTTTTAAAAGTGTCCCTATTAATAATAACTTTATATTTATTGTATGGTGTTTAATAGGGATAAATATGAAAAAATAAGGTTAGTTGAAAAGTAGGTAACTACTTTATTGAGAGGTGAGATTTGCTTAAAAATACTTTATATTTTTAAATGGAAGAAATATATATTTATTTGCAATATATGCTCAAAATATAATGTTCAGTTAAATTTTATTTTTTTAACTAAAATATTCTCCATTATTAATTTGATTTTTTAGGCCAACTTTCTAATTATTGGACTTCGTCAATTTGTTTATAATGAAATTTAATATTTGAACCAATTTAATTAAATTCACGCTTAAAGGTAAGCACGGATTATAAATCTTATTCTTAGTTTCATTCAAAAGGTGAGTGGTACAAATCTACTGACTCAATAAGCGACTCATGTGTCACAATAATAATTATCTGATTTAATCAAATGATTATAAGAGATTTTGTCACATGATAATTAAAAAGTATTAAAGCACAAAATTTTAGATGAAAATAACATATGTGATGAGTTTTGATCGTAAGGGTTGTTTAAAATTTTTTGAGAGAAATGCATTTTGATAATTTTGAAGTTGATGCAATTAAATAATTACAACTTTGATACTGATTAAGCAGGTAGATTTAAGTCATTCACCATATCCTGATATCCCAATCTGTTTCTTTCACACTCTTAAATGTTTTTTGCTTACCTTGTGGTTGTTTTTTCCTCTTTGAATTTCTATTTCATGATCTGTAATTAAGTATAATTTCAAACTAGCCCTAATTATTAATTAGTTTCTCTCTATTTCTTCTTGTACTCGCAGGGGTGTTCTATGTTGCAATTTTCAATCTAAATGATGATCCCAGGACTGTGAAATTCGATATTCCATTCTTAGGATCTCACCTTCCCGCAGGGAGATCATTCAGTACTTGTGCTGATGGCAATGATTATTATCATCCTGATTTCGAACTTGTTGACAACAAGATTGAACCAGAAATTCCAGGACATGACTGCTCACTCTTTGTCATGACATCATGTAGCTAACCTCTTCAATATAATTAATTATGAAAAATAAATGTATTATTGTTCTTTATACTACAATAAAAATAACTACATTATGTCCCTGTGCGATTTAGAAGGAACACACTATTGATGCTATTTTTTATTCTAGCATTCATGCTAATTTTTATGGTTAACGGAAAATAGTTTTAATGTAATTTATCATGACAAAAATGTTTCTATTGAAATTATATTGTATAAAGGAAGATTAGGAAAATATGGAGGAAATTTGAATGGGAGAGAGAGATTGTATGCTCAGAAAGAAGTGAGCAATTTTTTTTTTTCAAAATCTTCTAAAGAGCATGTGAAATTAAAAAGTTTTGACAAAAAAATTATATGCACATTGATTTATGCAACATAAAAATTTAAACGTACAGCCTACCAATAAAAAACAATTTTTTAGAAAAATATTTATGGAATTTTTAAATTTTAATTGACATGTAGAAAAAATATTTAAATTAAAAAGTACAGCCGACTACTTATTTTCAAATTTTCATGATGTCTTGAGATGTAATCCGTGTCTTGAATGAGTTGGAATTGTCGTCACTTTACCTGTTGATTAAAGAACAAACAATCAACATATATATGCAACTTTATCTTGAAGAAAATTAAATGATTAGCTGTGCAAACAAGAAGAATCATGGCCTTCCCTGTGCAGAAATTTGTAAAACATTCTTGAGAGGTACAATGTGAAATACATAGAAAATGAGAATATAAGGTGTAGAAGCCAGAATATGTTTTGACGAAAAGATCCCTACATCGCATGAATATGGTATTCAGAGATAGGATATACATGGATTCCTACAAAAGATACAATAAAAGGAGACCCAGAAGTGAAGAAAGAGGCTGTAAGGAAGCAAGTTCCAAGGCTTCCAAGGGTAAAAAGAATCAATGTCAACCCTCCTCTACTCCTCCTCTCAACCTCAACCTCGAACCACAAAGCATGCCTCCCTTCCAACCAACTCATCCCAATACCTTTGAATTCGATGACGGATCTAGAAAAATTAAATAGTGAGGGTAAAATTTACATTTAAAATAAATATTAATATTTTTAAAATATAATATTTTTAATGTTTATTAAATTAAGTTAAAGATAAAATTTATAATAATAGAAAAATAATAATGTCTTTATAAAACAAAAATTTTTATAAATATTAGAAAATAATATTTTTTTAAATTTTATTACTTATAAATTAAATTTGCCTACATTGTTTTTTATAGTATAGGAAGTTTTTGAGATAATTTTTTTATTTATACAATTAGAGAAAGTTATTTTTTCAATTTTGTTTTCTCCATTCTAAAATTAATTTTACTCAAGGAGAATGACAGTGAGGGCCTTAGAAGAGGAAAAAAGTGGTAAAAGTCCTGAACAACTGAAAGTTTATCAATGCAGAAGTCAATCGATAAACATTTAATTATATATAAATGAATTTTCAGTTGTTCAGGATCTTTTTTTTTTTTCCTTCTTCTTCTAGGGATTCTCAGTGACATTCTCCCTTTTATTTAAGTTTATTAAATATAGATAAGTTTATGAATCAGATAAATTTTAGGAAGAGGAGTGGAAAATTTTGAAGAGGCATGATTTTTCTAGGGTGGGGGCAATTGAAAATTTTAGGGGATCTAATTGAACATTTTTCAGGGTATAATTTCTAATTTTTTTTCCCTTATCTAGTGGGAACAAATGCCCCTTCCATGATGTCAGTTCGTCCCTGCCTGAATTGCTCTACCAAACCATGGAAACCTACCAATCAAAACTAGACCGACTTATTACCAAGAGCTTTGAAACTGAACAAATTATTCAAAACCTTGGTAACCTAGTGGTAAATGTTATTAGTGCATAAGAGATTCTGAGTTTCAAAGTCTAAACTATTCTTGATGACCACTTTAAGATCCCTCCTCAAGATTATAATAATATTAGATTCCATCCAAGAGGTCCTTCCACAAAATATCCACCTTCACCACAATCTGAGCAACAAAACTCCTCTCCCAATGAAGAATCACCTCATGTAGCTCTCACCTCACCACTAAGGACAACAATCCCTACTCGTTTGCTCATACTTCCAAAACTTCACCTAGCGATGAATTAAAACCTTCTCATAAAACCAAAGAACATCCTTTGAGAAGACGCTCTTGTCTAATCGTCCATCTCCATTAAGTCTTCTTAACACACTCCTACAACTCTACATAAAAAGACTACAGGAGCACCCATATAGGAGTTTTTAATTAAAGATTCTCTTAAAACTTTAGGCGGTGTACATATCAGAGCATTTTTTTTATTAAAAAAGTCCCATACAATATGCCCTACGTAACATCCCAACCATTTAAATTAAAATAAAGTAAAAATTAATTGGGATTGATGTGGGGTTAAATTTTGATGAGTTTATTTTAAGTAATAGTTTTTGAATAAATAAATAAGTTTAGGTGAAATTAAATTATTGAAGATATTTTTGTAACTTAACATACCATAAATATTTTAATATTATAAATATTTTATTTGAACAAAATACCTAAACTTAATTCAATCCTTTAAATTTTAGGGAGTCTAGAAAGTGTGTGTGTGTGATGGAAGAGGAAGAAAAAGATAAATAAATATATAACAAGTGGGTTCTTAAAAGAAATTATATAAATAATGAGAGAGAAAAAAAGTTATATATATATATATATATTTATATATATATATATATATATATAATTGGTGGGAATTTGAATAGTGGGCCACAGCCAACTCTTGTCTCGCCACATATTAGATGCGGCAAGACAACATTCATCCCCCATTGAAATTCTTTTTTGGGAGAATCTCACCTAGGGTCATGCATCTGGAGACTACCTAGTAGTTGGACTCCCCACGTTCCATCACTACGGTGCAGGAGTATTTTAGGAAGTGTAATTGTCACATCCCAACATTTAGGATATGATTGATATAAAATATAATATAAATTCATATTTTATAAATTTTAATTAATCAGGAATTAAAGTAAAATATCAATATATATAAGTTATACATACATATATACATATTAGTAAAGTTTGCAAAGTTTTAAATATTTTATAAAAATTTTGATAAAATCTTCCTTATAATTTGAACCGCCTGAAATTTTCACAATAACAATTGAACCTGCCAACTAGAACAGTAAGGAGTCTAGCTCCATTTCAACAACTTGCATAATAACAACATAAGATTTGGACCTAATAATGGTATATATGGAGCGTTAACTTACAAAATATAGTATAAAATTCCATCAAAAATAATAATCACCATGTGCTTCCTTTGTTCTAAAAAGTAACAGAATCCCTTAATGATCCACATGAGATGCAAGGTTAGGTACCGTATCTGAGACTAAAGAAATTTCTGATAAGTAACATTCCAATCAAAATTATAAATAAATAAAAAGAATTTATGAAGATAGTGACTAATAAACTTAATTTGAAAACAATTCCACGAAATAATTAAACATATACTTAATTAACAATAAATAACAAATTTTCTCAATAACATAACCATGAAATTTAACAATGCTAATAGAATTACATAAATGTATTAAGATTTGTACTGCTCATAAAATATAAAAATTTTCAAAAATAGTGTAATTCGATAAAATGCTTTTGGAGAACCAATCTAAAAATGATAAAATTTAATTTAAATTTAGAAGAGCTTTATCAGAATGAATAATAAGCACGGACACATAGTCCACATGGGTAAATAACTAATCAAGTGTGGACACACAGTTTATAAGGATAAATAATCAACAAGTGTGGCTTAAAGCCACGAAATAATCAAGCGTGTCTAAAAGCCATGAAACAAGTGCAAGCATAAAGCCCCACAAAACAAGAGTGAGTACGATACTCATGAATATCCATCCCTCTATTCCACATGCGTTGGCCGATACATGAGATTAGCACCTCCTACAAGCACCTTACTAATTAGGTGTACCAGGGGGTGTCAAGGGCTCATGAAATTGCCGTTAGCATCCAGTATTCTAAACTCAGTTCCCCTTAGTAAAATCAAGCATGTATGGAGTAAGAAAATAGTTTTAAAACCTTAAATAGCAAATAATATCCAACTATCATTTCTATTATTTGAATATATTATCTTTTTCTCCATACACAAATCATTGCAATAAATATTTATATCAACATAGAAATAAAGAATTAAGTTGCTGTGAGAAATAATACTAGTTGTTGTATATCTATTTTAATCATTTCTTGTCAACAAAATAAATCTTTAGTAATGTTAACACGTGTTTATAAATAAAACAATTATTAAAAAAATAAGATTAACAAGAATATTTTTACAACTTATACAGAAATAAAAAAAATTTAGTGAAAAAGGCTTTTATAAACATGTTACTAGAATTTGAGTTGGAACACTTCCCACCCACCGGAGTTTCCAAAATTTTATAGTCAAACTCCTTCAATTTCTTGCTTACTCCAATGATGTCTCATATCAATCTAACACAACCTAACAATCCCTATGTCACTATGATTTTTTTTTTTATAATAATCAATCTAAATTAATATTTAAGCTTCTTTGATAATTCTTCGAAAACCCCTTAAACTCTCATTGAACTCATCAATAACTTCTATCAAGTAGCATTCTATTTCAACCATCAACATAACCTTTATTCCAAACTTAATAAAAATTTTAATTATTATATAATCTAATAATTTTACTTATGGTGCTACACACTTTTTAATGAGCAATTCAACACTACAACTTGTGTGAAGAAAACATATACTTCCTTAAGTAATACTTATAATTTCTCTAGGCTCTACTATAAAATATAACAAACTTTATTTTCACTCATAAATCTTTCAAGTATATTTATAATTACTATGAGAACATGCACCGTTATTAAATCATGACGCAAGCATCTAGATAAAACCAACAAATTCCATCTTCCGGTGTCTTTGCCAATCTTAGCTCAGCATATACTAATATAGTATGCAATCCAAACAACACCTAAACGTTTCTACAACCTCATGAC